AAACTGATTGGAGGTGGTATAAACGTTTGGGGAATGGCCGTTCTTCTTATGACGGCCTATGAGGAGTATTTTTATAATAAAAATATTATTCACTATTCTCCAATTTTAAATAGGACCCCCTTTTCCCAGCTGCAAACAGGTAAAACACTGATCTAGATCACAGGGCTGTCATGGGGTTTCACTGAAGTTTGTAAAGCACTTTTGAAATCCTTGGATGAAAAACCACAATAGAAATGCAAGTGGTTTTAACTCTATATTGCACCATAACATCAGTATTTCTGTTTTGGCATATGTTTTTTAGGATGTTGACAATTCAGCAATTAAAATTGGATGTGTACTGCATGCACGGGTGGAGGGAAAGCTAAAAATGCCTCTTGGTTGCTAGCGGGAGCATGATGAGCAGCAGCTCTTTCTGTATCTTTACAAAGCTGTGACCTGTGCTCCTTCCATTGCAGCCCTGCCAAATTGGGGGCCGGGACAGACCATGCCTTACACCACCCTGACATGTCCTCTCTAGAGCAGTGAGTATTGGCCACAAATGTTTGTCACTCCTCCTCTCTTGCGCTTTCAGCCAACTTATGGCTGCCTCCTACACTGGTGTCACAGCGGGAAGGGCCTCCTTGTGCCCCTACTCCCTCTAACACTCAAAGTGCCTGTCAGTTTGGTCCCACAGCTTACAACTGCATCAATACATTGCAGTGTTGCCATCTCTTGTGGCTATCACAAATCTTACAATATTTAGAGTTTTCCTTAAAGCCTCAGATCCAGGAGTGATAGGATTACATGACAATCTCTGCTTTCATTTGGAAAAAATTTTAACTCACGGATGCAGAAGGAAAGCTTGAAAATGTGAACCGTAAATGCTCAAACACTGGAAATCAAAAACAAAAGATCCTAAACATTTAATTTAAGAGTCATGATTTTTAACCAAATTCCATTTTTTAAGGGCCTGACTCATTTTTGAATGCTTGGGATTGGCAATACTGACTTTATTTGAGGCCATCTCTTTGTTAGGAGAAGACCCCTGTATTTTAACTGGCTTTAACAAGCTAGTACACAAAGAAGATGTAAAATGTATGGATGGTTTTAATAATACATTTTGGGTGCGCAATCTGGGACACCATAAAGGGGCCTGATTTTTAGAAATAACTGAGTACCCACCTCCTCAAAAATGATCCCCTCCTACCCCCCAGTACATTTAATACACATTTTCCCTAGCACTTCAAGGTCTCTTTTCTGCAACTTTAAAAACAGGCCTAATGCATCACAGGAGAAAAACAAAGGAAGCTGAAGCCACAGCCATGCACAAATAAGTCTGAGCTTTTCCTTCTGAGAGGTGGGATTGTGTTTTTCCGCTCAAAGCTGTTTAGATATTGCAAGAGAGGTCAATGAATCCGGTACTAAATATCCGAGTTTTCTGGAGCAGTGGAAGCAAAGTAAATGATCACATATCTCCGCAGTTAGGAAGCAGTAAATAGTAGGGCTGTCAAGTGATTAATCGCAATTAAATTTTTTTAATCACACAATCAAGCACACTTAATAGAATACCATTTATTTAAATATTTGTGGATTTTTTTCCCTACATTCTGTGCTGTAACTGAAATCAATATTTGAAAGTGTACAGTGCTCACTTTATACTTATTTTTATTAAAAGTATTTGCACTGTAAATACAAAATAAATTGTATTTTTCAATTCACCTAGTACAAGTACTGTAGTGCAATCTCTTTATCATAAAAGCTGAACTTACACATGTAGAATTATGTACAAAAAACTGCATTCAAAAACAAAATGTAAAACTTTAGAGCCTACAAGTCCACTCAGTCCTACTTCTTGTTCAGCCAATCGCTAAGAGAAACAAGTTTGTTTATAATTACAGGAGATAACGCTGCCTGTTTCTTATTTACAATGTCACCTGAAAGTGAGACCAGGCATTCGCATGGTACTTCGTAGCCAGCATTGCAAGGTATTTACATGCCAGTATGCTAAACATTCGTACGCCCCTTCATGCTTCGGCCACCAATCCAGAGGACATGCTTCCATACGGATGATGCTCGTTACAAAAATAATGCGTTCGTTACTTAGTGACACAAATCTCCCCCAAGGAGTTCAATGTCTCCTGCTCCATTTTACATGCATTCTGCCATATATTTCATGTTATAGCCATCTTGTATGATGACCCAGCATATGTTCGCTTTAAAAACGTTTTCAATGCAGATTTGACAAAAACGCAAAGAAGGTACCAATGGAAGACTTCTAAAGATAGCTACAGCACTCGAACCAAGGTTTAAGAATCTGAAATGCCGTCCAAAATCTGAGAGGGATGAGGTGTGGAGCATGCTTTCAACAAAGTCTTTAAAAAGCAACACTCTGATGCAGAAACTACAGAACCCCAACCACCAAAAAAGAAAATCAACCTTTTGCTGGTGGCGTCGGACTCAGATGATGAAAATGAACAGGTGTCAGTCTGCACTGCTTTGGATCATTGAGCAGAACCCGTCATCAGCATGGATGCATGTCCTTTGGAATGGTGGTTCAACATGAAGGGACATATGAATCTTTAGTGCATATGGCATGTAAATATCTTGTGACGCCGGGTACAATAGTGCCATGGGAATACCTGATCTCATATTCAGGGGACATTGTAAAGAAAAGGGAGCATTATCTCCTGCAAATGTAAACAAACTTGTTTGAGCAATTGGCTGAACAAGAAATAGGACTGAGTGGACTTTTTTAGGTTGTTTTGTTTTTGAGTTCAGTTATGTAACAAAAAAATTACATTGTAAATTGTACTTTCATGATAAAGATCACACTACAGTACTTGTGTGAGGGGAATTGAAAAATGTTATTTCTTTTGTTTATCATTTACAGTGCAAATATTTGTAATAAAAATACTGTATAAAGTGAGCACTGTACACTTTGTATTCTGTGTTGTAATTGAATATATTTTAAAATTTAGAAAAACATCCAAAAATATTTAATAAATTTCAATTGGTATTTTAGTGTTTAACAGTGCAATTAAAAGTGCGGTTAATTTTTTAATCATGGTTAATTTTTGAGTTTATCGCATGAGTTAACTGTGATTAATTGACAGCCCTAGTAAATACCATTAGTTTTTAGATTGCTTTGGGTTTCATAAGCTGCAAGAGAGTATGTACTGAGAGTCTGGTATTTAAAATTCGGGCCTGAGCCTGCTCCCATTTGAACGAGTGGCAAAACTGCCACTGACTTGGTGGAGAAGGACAGGCTTCTAAAGGCTTCAGAGTCTCTTCTGTTCCATAATTTAGAGTGTTCATATAGCCCCCACCACCACAAAAAAAGTGAGTTTCAAAACACTAACGCGAGACAATATCAAATCTAACAGATCAAAGAAAGTGTGGATCAAAACAAATGCCATCTCAATAATATCGTTTTACAGGTACATAGCACCTTCCATTCTAAAGCAGTTCACACATTAGTATAGCAGCAGAAAATGCTGCCACATGGTGTGGAAAAAGTCAAACTGTCCACAGTATGTTTCATAATAATTGATAGAGGGTTCCCATTTGGTAAGGGATACTGAGAAAACCGCTACTCCTTTGAAAAGTATTGTGGTATCTTTAGTATCCATGGAGAAGACGCAGAGCTTTTTTTTTAAATTGTATCATGACTATCCCCATGCAGTAAGTTGTACTAAACTCATTTTACCCTGGAAGGCTAACAGGCTTGGACCCTGCATGGACCTGAACCTGTGACTCCAAGGAGTGAGTATGTCCTTTTAAAAAAAAAAAAAAAAGTCTTAGAGACTTGTACGTAGTGTTCAGGATTCCCCAGTAAGTTTTCAACATATTCTACATCCTTTTCCTTTAGTTTCAGAGCAACAAGAGACTGGGAAAATCAAGGACCTTCCCTCATGTCTAAAGCATTGTTTCTCAACCAGGGGTCTGCACACCCAAGTCTTCTGGGGTTGGGGGGGGACCTCAACTCACCTCGATGTTTGCCTAGTTTTAAAAACAGGCTACATAAAAAGCAGTTTCTCTAGCAAACTAAGTACAAACTAAAATTTCATACAGACAATGACTTGTTTATACTGTTATACATACTATACCCTGAAATGTAAGTACAATATTTATATTCCAATTGATTTATTTTATAATTAAATGGTAAAAATGAGAAAGCAAGCAATTATTCAGTAGTAGTGTGCTGTGACACTTCTGTATTTTTATATCTGATTTTGTAAGCAAGTAGTGTATAAGTGAGGTGAAATTTGGGGTACACAAGACAAATCAGACTCCTGAAAGGGTACTGTAGTCTGAAAAGATTGAGAGCCACTGATCTAAAGCATGTGATAATTCAAACAGATCCTTCTTAATGCAGCACATTCTTTGGATTGTTTTCTCACTGTGTTTAGACAATCCCAATGTGATTTCAGGCTCCCACCCTCTTCACCACCACCACCACCACCCTAAAGTTGTTTATGTATCAATGTGGTGGTGGGGGGGAAACCAACCACATAGTGTGCACTGGACCAGACACTGCTATAGTGCCTGAAGCCAAAAAAACAAAAAGGTTGTGCATGTAATTTTTTTTGTAGTATAATCATTCTGTCATGTATAATGGATGCACAGGCATAGTGCTAGCTTTTGAAAGCCTCAAGCAAAGCTTTACTTTATTCCATTAAATCTCATGGGGTTCAAACAAAAGCGTTCTCTATGTCAGCATCACAATGCTTAGCAATGAAATTCCACAGCCAGAATGGGTCCTTAGAGCTGAATGTATTTATATATATTTTATTTTAGCAAACTATTAAATCAGAATCCCCAGGTACTTTGAAGTCCCAAAGAGGAGTGGAGGGGCAGGGTGGGGCAGTCATGAATAATAACTTAACTTTATTAGTGTGTTTTAAGGTATAAAGCTTTTGGTGGTTTTAAAGAGAAAAGGAAGTAAAGCACATACCTGGATATACAAAGAATTTGTTGTGCAGATTCTACAGCCCTAAGGGAACCAGCAGGGTAATTCTTACCATTACTCATTGGGTTGAGCATTGTAGCATAGTAGGTGATTGGCAGCTGGGGTCTTTGATATTTACTTGGTTGTTCAAATTTGGACTCTGAGGTAGCTGTGGAATTTAAAACAGAAAAATATGAGAAGAGATACTGGAAATACATTCAATATCCAGCCTGAGGAGTGGAATCAGATGCAATGGCTTCAGTGGATAAAAATAAAATAAACTACTTGTTTTCTCCATCTGGTGTAAGTATGTAATACTTATCCGGTTCCCTGCACTATAGTATCCCAACACATTAATTTATCTTCACAACAACCTTGCAAAGTAGGGAAGTACTAGCATCCCTCTTTACAGAGAGGGAAACTGAGGCAGATAGCAAGTCCGTGGCAGAGATGGGAAATGAACCTAAGACTCCTCAGTCCTTGTCCAGTTCTATAAATCACAAGACCATCTTTCCTGATTTTTTAGCAAAATAACTAGACAATGAAAGTCATATAGTCATAGAGATGGGCCTGAGACACAAGATGCAGATTCAGTTCTGGATTTCAAACTTTCAGAGTTTTGAGGAGTTCTTTCCATGGTTTTAGTTTGCAAGTGCCTCCCTGCTCTAAAATGGCCAATGTCCAGAGCTGCAGCACTGGTTCTAGCTGGCCCCTCTATAGCATGGCCTTTGCCTTCTTCTTAGGGCTTAATCATTTGAAGCCCAGAGGTGTTTAAATACATTTTGTTTTTATTTACTTAAAAACATGGCGTGTGACTCAGAAGACCACGAGCCTATTGTGAATGGCACAGTCACTACTGAAGTGAACATATGCAACATTAAGACTAGAACTCTCATGAGTTTGACTCTCCCAATAAGGTACATATTCAGCTCCACTAGCTCAGCCACTACAAGTTTATCCAGTGGAACGCAGCGCCTGGCACACATACATAAAATCAGTACATTATAAGGGGCTACCCAGTTAAGACATACAATACCTCATCCACAAACTCAATACATGCCATCTGGGACGTACTGGAATACAGTCCAACTGTTATTCTATGATTCTATTATATGTACCCACAAAACAGCACATATCAGGGTTGGAAGGGACCTCAGGAGGTCATCTAGTCCAACCCCCTGCTCAAAAACAGGACCAATCCCCAACTAAGTCATATATTACATTATACATACAGCTGTGTGAATGAGCTGCAACATCATCATTTATTCAGCAAGTTTCACTTCTCTCTATTTGCACCATGTTTGCAGACAGACAGATATTTTCTTAAAAAGAAAAAGAAGTACTTGTGGCACCTGAGAGACTAACCAATTTATTTGAGCATAAGTCTCAGGTGCCACAAGTACTCCCTTTTCTTTTTGCGAATACAGACTAACACTGCTGTTACTCTGAAACCAGATATTTTTTTGAATCAATCATTGGAAGTTGTTCAGAATGTGTTGTAAGTTTCATTTACTCTATGGTCTGCTATTTGAAATTCAAAATTTAAATTATTCCTTAATTATTATTGTTCATAAGTGACTTGCTATTGGTTTCTTGTTCCCTGCTTGTAACTCTTACAGAAAGGTTTCTGGAACTACTTAACTGTCCAAGAGCATTAAAGAGCATGACCTAATAAGTTAACTCTCTCTGAGCAAAGAGTTTTAGCAGCATAAACTGTACTAATGTTTATTTGGTTACAACAAACACACCTAACCAGCACCTATCCCAGCCTCTAGGTGCCCTTGACAATTAAATTAATACAACCAACCATAAAAACAAAGCCAATAGCAACCTTCACCACATAAAGCAGTGACTTGTTAGACCTAGATTATGTAAAGCAGACAAGAAGCACTTGAAAACACCACTGAACCAAATTCATTATAAAAAATCCTGGAAATATTTTTGAAATATTTCCCCCCCCCACCACCCTATGTCTTGTATTAGATGTACACAGAGAGTGATATTCTGCAATGTTATATTCATGTGGTATTGGGAATATAAAAAAAAAAATACGACTTTCCCCTAAAAAACCTACAGCCTTCAATTTGGAAAACAGGAGGAATGGCTCTATTTAACCCAGCTTAACCTCATAATATTATTAATCTTATTAGATATTTTTGCATGCCTGCTCTACAAAACTGAAAAAAAAAAAATCACAGTAAAGTGCTGGAGGGAATGCCATGATACAGGGAGCCACCTTCAGATCTTCAGGGAACAGCCTTATACCAGTAGACTTTCAAATGAGGAGAAAGTAACACTGGGGTTAGGGGAATGGCAACCACTTCCCCATATGCCTGTTACCATGGTATTAGAAAAAAATGTCCAGATTTATTTCAATTAAAGTTCAGGATCATTACGAGTACAATATATATATGTATATTTTGTTACTATGGTTACAAAAATAACCTCTATTGTTATGATATTAACAAGGATTTAAAACAAAAATGGAACAACTCACTGCCAGTCCTGGATTAATAGAACTATTTCAGAGAAGTGGGAGATACTGATTAAAATTACAGCTGTGACTTATTTTTAACATCAATATGTTAACTTCCCCAACAACCTAAAGCAGAGTCCAAGCAGTTTATTTCCTTTTCTCTTTTGACCTAAGAAAACAACTTGACAATTCTGTTTATCTTTAATAAGTGAATAATGAAGACAATCACTAATAATGAGCAATTTACACAGCAGTTAATAGACATGGATTCAGATCAGTTCTCTGCCCTGAAGAGTTTAAACCTAAGGGCCAGGCTGTATTCAGCTGCTCCCGAGGTGCAAGATGACTGCATGCCCTTATCTCCCTGCACAGTGGCTTAGCCATGGTCTTGCACTGCTCCCACCCACTATGCACTGGCTAACATTGTGCATGTATGTGGGAGGGTGCATGCTGACTTCCTAGAAGGGTGCTGTAGTGCAGGAACACTTCTGCAGGCCAGGGAACTCACTCACTGAAATGTTTCAGAGGAACAGCCGTGTTAGTCTGTATTCGCAAAAAGAAAAGGAGTACTTGTGGCACCTTAGAGACTAACCAATTTATTTGAGCATGAGCTTTCGTGAGCCACAGCTCACACATCTGATGAAGTGAGCTGTGGCTCACGAAAGCTCATGCTCAAATAAATTGGTTAGTCTCTAAGGTGCCACAAGTACTCCTTTTCTACTCACTGAAATGTAATTCCTCCCAAAGCCCTCAGAGGCCATGCAAGTTGATACCACGCTATAAGCCAGTGCCAGAAGGCATACATAGCTGAGCCCTGAGTTATATAATGTTAAGGCAATGGACAGGACAATAATATATGAATACTCTGGTAATTTACCCTCATGGTGTACCACCACAGAAGCCAGCACAAGAGTAGGAACTAGCAGGGTACCCTAGGATATAAATGAAGGAACAGAATACCAGGGAAGAGGCAGGAATGGCAGAGAGGTAATTTCCATTACAAGTGTGTCTAGTCTTGTATTCTCTGCTAAAAGCAGCATATTTTTACCTTTGAGTATCTGAAGCATGTGAGCTATCCTGTGGATTTTTTTTATTATTAATGATTATTATTAAAGAGACACAATGAGGACAAGACACTGTAGTTTTACCATGAGGTAAACTAAGCAAGGTCAGACCACACCCAGGGCTGACCTCCTCTAGTTTAGTTTTGTTTTCCTTTAAAGAGGCCTAGGTCAGTAGTTTCAAGCGAGAAGGAGGTTTTAATGAAAAGGCAGACGAAGATTTTGCTTGCTAAAACAGATTAAGTCACCCTGAAATTTTCTCTCAGGACTTAAAGTGAAGCTCCTATGTTTTTGCCCAGCTCCAGAAATGACTCATGGCAAACAGTAACTTGCATCACAAAACTTGGCAAAAATACTGTTTGTTCAGCAGCATCCCAAGACTCAAACCACTGTAATATAATTATTTACAGTAAAACAGACAAAGTCACATAGAAAGTTGGTATATACACCACACTAATGTGATTCTTGAAAAATACTTTACTTACAATGAATGTGGTGAAAGGCTGAAGTACTTGCTTGCTAGCAAAGGCTGAAAATTTCGAGTCACATGATTCTGTATTTATATGCAACTTCCCACATCTGTTTGAATAAGTAATACCTTACAATTAATTGGCGGGGGGGGGGGAATAATATGATATCAGCCACCTAAGGATATATACTACTTTCACTTTGTTCTTGTGAAGCAAAGTGCTGTTTTAAGTGTGGCTGTATTCAGTACATACTAAATGTTACCGACTGGTCAGTAGGTGTTAAGTGTCGTCCTCTGTGCCCAATCCAGAGGAACTTGTATTGGACCAACTTTTGTTGGTGAAAGAGATAAGATCATTACCACACCCATCTTGTCTCTCTAAATTATCAGGTAGACAGATGAGTTAATAAGCTGAATTTATCAAAGCTGGTTATGAGATTTAGCTACAGTACAGTGTTGTAAATCAGACTTCAGGAAAGGGTAAATTTACCTGTGAGCCATTCCCCCTTAGTCAGCCTAATAATTTTATACAAAGAAATATTGTTTAGGCAAGATATTTTAGTGAGGTTACTTCTGAAAAACTGAATCAGGGAATAGTGAAAACAGGAATGTTTAAGCACACATCATTGCACATGTACATATAATTGCATATGTACACACACAGGGAAGAAAGCAAGAGACAAGTCAGTTTTTCCCAAGTGAGATGTATAAATGTTTGTTATGTTGATTGAGATGCTAGATTTCTTTTTAATTTGATCCATAAATATAGTTCTGTATCTTATATACCAATGTGAAATTGATTCTCACTTCGTTTGTGTATTCATATTTCAGTTCTCAACTTCATCTACGTGAAGCACAATTTTTTTTATTACAAAGATTGATCAACTCTACAACAAAAACCCCAAACACTTATGCATCCAGGATGCTGTGTAAAGCAGAGTCTCTGACTCCACTCACTGTGTGTTAGCGTGTGTGTAAATGTAATTACATCTAATAAAAACATACCCACTTATGCTATAAAATGTATTGTAATTCTATTTTTCACCTTCTGTTTGGAAAGAAAAGGGGTTGAGAAAGGAAAACTGGAGAAGTTTCCTCTGATGTAAAAATGACTAAGGGCACACCCTACAAATAATTAGTTAGGAGAGTAATCCTTTCTCC